TTAAGCCCAAGACCACCTGTCTGAAGTCTGTGCTCCACACACTATGTTGTCTCCCTAGAATACCCAGAGACAAGCCATACAATTCGTTTCTAGTTTATCATTCAAAGTATATCATCAAATCATTATCCAGTTTATAGGTAATGAAGCCCTTGGGTGTTCCTGTCTTCCTATTTCCTGGCCTTCTGGGAATTTTAATTAAGAGGAACCATGAAAGGTGGTAAAACTCATGTCTATTAAGTAAGGTATCTGGAAATAGATTAAGATGTGATGAAAAGAAGGGAGATGGCCACTAAAATTAGACTTAAAATTTTTTTATTCCATACTTCTCCCCAATCGCCAATGAGGGGTGAGGTTGACTAGATGCTTCCCAATGACGCTTACCTTGCCCAACAGCCGAGTGCATTTTTTCCATGTCAAACTTAATTTTTGATCTTCCTGGAGTGCTAAGCATCTTTTCCCACACTGTAGTTACTTCTTTAAGACAGGGAGTAATTTCTTCGTAATCGAGCTTCAGGCGTTTGTTCAGCAAATCATTTTCGGAGGCTGGAAGAGACCATTCTGGAGTGCATCAGTAAAGGCTACAGCTATGGAATTTCCATTACACAACATGGCTGCCTACTTGTTATCCTGCTGAGATGTCAAGAAGTTACAACCATCTTAACGCATCTAAATATAAGTCACTGTCCATGCCTCTACCCATTTTCTTTGTTTTGGAAAATGCTAAAAACCTAGGAGGTATGTGATTTCTCTTACCCCTCACTCCCAACGTACTCTGTGGGCTCTACTGCTAAGACATAAACCACATCTGCCCAATTCTTTCCATCTTACCCCCATCAAACCATGAGCCATCCCAGAGCAGGAGCTATGTGTTATTAATAAAATTCCCGATGACTAGCATGGTTAGAACTCGATGCAATTTTTTTCATCTAAACTAGGAGAGGCACTCTAAAGATAGTTTTCTCATTTAGAGCCAAACCTCCGTTTAGTAGCTTCTACCATTGGTCCCATTTCTGCTTCTTGGAGCTAAACTGAATAAATCTACCCCTCTCAAATGACATCTCTTAAATATATGAAGAGAACTACTGTTTCCCACCAAACTTACTCAACCTAAAGCTACATGAAGAATTATAACTAAATTATCAAACCCAGGGGGGAATAATATCAATAAAGGGAAATGTTAAATTGATAATTTACATTGATCCTGGACCCAATCTCTCATTTCATGGCGACAGAAACTGAAGTTCAGAAGGATCAGGTGATTTGGTCCTGGTTATTTACTAGCTAGAGGGAAGCCAAGCGACTCTAGACCCAGTGCTGCCTTCCTCTCAGCTTTTATGGTTTTCCATCTACCATCTTTAATCTTTTCCCTCATACTCTGATGAATACATTTCTAAGGTCCTGTTAAACAATTCCCTACATCTCTAGGGTTCACATTTTTTTAAAATGTCAACCCTAGATTTTTTTTTTGGCTGTGATTTGGGATATGAGAAAACACAACAAATGTCACTAGAGTTGAGCTAATCCTTGCAGCAAATCAGGTTTGGGGCTAGCCTTGCTGCACAGCAACTGGCGGCAGCACTGGGCTTTGGAGGCCAACGTACGTTCCTCTGGCAGTAAGGCTGCTACGAGCACATCTGGCCACCCTAACAGAGCCCAGCAGGCAACATGAGCATCCTGCTCTGAAGTCATCACAACTTCACACAGCCAGAAAGAACTGGCCAGAAGATTCAGCTGAAAAGGCTCAATCCACGAACATCCTGCTGTTTCAGTATCCTAACAACACTGCTGCCTAAAATCAGTGGCCTCCAAAATGCCTTATCAACCAAGGCAGATGGTACAGAACTACAACAAACACCCAGGCTGCAGGGCAAGAACTTCAGATACAGGACCCAGCTGTTCGCAATACTAAATAAGACTCCCCACACCCATGTGGTTTATAAGCTTGTGGACTGAGATCAAATGTAAATTTGCAACAAAGTTCTCTAAAATATTTATTATGATTTAACATAAAGGTCTGAGCCAACTTGGACTTTGTGATAACGTTCAGGTCTGATTTGTGCCTACTCTGGAGGGTGGGCTATGGCTGCTCCGTCCCCAGTTCTGCTCTGTTAACAATGGCTTTCCCAGACAAAACTGTCTTGCCAGCTGCCATCATCTCTTGAAAGCTCAGAATGGAAAGCTAAGAGGATGGGAGGCTCAGCAATTAAATGACCCCCACACCTGCAGAGATTTTAGAAGAACTGCACTGAGTATTTGATTTTTAAACCATCATGTATTATTTAACTAAGAAAAATGTTTTTTAAATAAAAAAAATCAACTGTAATTCAAAATTTAATGTTATCACATCATTTTAATCTTAGTAAAGCATAAAATGCTGAGTTATATGAATTAGCCATGGCTGTATTGAATCACATGTTGCAATCTTGCGTTAGGCTGCTCATACCTTTATTTAAAAATACAGAAAAAATGGGCTGGGTGCAGTGGTTCATGCCTGTAATCCCAGAACTTTGGGAGGCCAACGTGGGAGGATCACCTGAGGTCAGGAGTTCAAGATCGGCCTGGCCAACACGGTGAAACCCCGTCTGCACTACTACTACTACTACTACTACTTCTTAGCTGGATGTGGTGGTAGGCGCCTGTAATCCCAGCTACTCAGGAGGCTAAGGCAGGAGAATCGCTTGAACCCAGAAGACAGAGTTTGCAGTGAGCTGAGATTGCGCCACTGCACTCCAGCTTAAGCAACAAAAGCGAAACTCTGTCTCAAAAAAAAAAGAAAAAAAAAGGGAAAAATGGCTTTGCAAAGGAGGACAGCAGAGGACTGGTGGCTTCAAAGACAGGCAATGGTTTTAGTTCTAACACCACTGAAAATCAGCTGTCTAATTTTGGAGAAATCACAACTTCCGCTTCCAAGTGCCTACAATGGAGTGAGGTAGACTGAGATAACATAGTATGGTTCTTTCCAGGATGCAATGCTTCCAGAATAGTAAAAAAATTTGATTCATCCATTCAAGTCAGGAAATAGGCTTAACCATAGGAAGAACTTCCTCATACACATTCTTCTAAATTCTTTCCCAAAGAGTATGCAAGTCAGCTTGAACCCCTGATCAATTTCAAGAGCTATCTCAGATACAATTTAACCTTCCTAAAGGTAGGGAGGGAGAAAAAAACAAACTCACAATAGAATGCCTATCTCTCTAAGTACATAGTACAGCAGGTCCTCAAATAATGTCTTTGTGCTCATTGTCGCTTTGTTATAATGTTGGTAAGAAAAAAATGAATTCTTAGCCTGGGGCCATTGTCCGTGTGGAGTTTGTGTTCCTCTTCATGTCTGTGTGGGTTTTCTCCAAGTGCTCCAGTTTCCTCCCACATCCCAAAGAGGTGTACATTAGGTTAATCAGTATGTCTACGTGGTCCCAGTCTGAGAGTGTGTGTGTGTGTGTCACCCCGAGATGGGATGGCATTCAGTCCAGGGCTGGTTCCTGCCTTGCACCCCAAGCTGTAGGGATAGGTTCTGGCCACCTAGGACCCTGAAGTGGAATAAGTGGAAAAATAATTACCTCTTTTTTTTTTTTTTTTTTTTAAGATGGTGTCTCACTGTGTTGCCCAGGCTGGAGTGCAGTGGCACCATCTCGGCTCACTGCAACCTTCATCTCCTGGGTTCAAGCGATTCGCCTGCCTCAGCCACCCAAGTAGCTGGGATTACAGGCGTGCACCACCACGCCCGACTACTTATTTTTTGTAATTATAGTAGAGACGGGGAATCCACCACATTGGCCAGGCTGGTCTCGAACTCCTGACCTCAGGTGATCTGCTTGCCTCGGCCTCCGAAAGTACTGGGATTATAGGAGTGAGCCACTGTGCCAAGTCAATAATTATCTTATTTGTATTAATCTTGCTTAAATGTTTCCATATCTCATGTTTACATTAATATTTAATATTAGAAGTGTCCTGAGTCTTTATTTAGAAGTTTGGTGATGTTTTTGTGCCCAGAAATATGCCACAGGAACTTAACTCTTGTTTTTATCAATAAACTTTTGGTTTATTGATAAATATTTATCAATGAAACCTTGTTTCATTATACATCATTTTGCTTAAATTTGCAGTTTCCATGAACCTATCGGCAACATTAAGTGAAGACTTACTGTACACTCTGGCTGATTCTTATCAAATCTTGCATCTATATTTAATGTAAAAGTTCTGCCCTGCCCCTAATCCACCCCAACAAAACTTAGTAAATATTTTTAAGCAATCAGGCTCTTATTGCTGGATATTTTTTATCAGCAATCCAGGTCCTATACATACTAATACAATGGATTAATGCTTCCAACATTATATTAAGCAAGTTTATTGTGTTTTCACCACAGAGATAAACACATGTTGAACATTATAGAGCTAAGAAGAGAAATGAAGTCAAACAGTAAAAATAAAAGACCACGAAAACTGAACACTGCCAAGAAGCCAGATGAAATGAGGAAGCATTAGAAGAATGCTGGCAAGGGCCAGTAAACTTAACGCAACACCTGGCAAGGGGTTCCAGGTAACCTTAGGAAACTCTTGCCTGTTCATTCTAGTCTGTCTGATCATTGTTTGCACAGCAGAATGTATTCTGCTTTTGTGGCATACTGATTTCGCCTCACCAATTACAGTTGTCCTCACCACATTCCCAAGAAGCCAGCTGTGAGCACCATTCCCATTTTATAGCTATGCCCTGATTTTACAGGGCTGTCATTTGCAAGAAGATTGGCCAGTATTGGCATTAAAGTTTATGACCTACGTGATGAACGTAACTGCCTTTTTCCTCTTCAACAAAAATCCCAAGATGCACGTGAATATAACTGCTGTGCTCCCGAGCTGTCATTTAACTGATGACACTTGTAGTAACGCCATCACTATCAAACATCTTTTAGATATCTGCTTTTAGAATTACTTTCATGAACACACAAGAAAGCGGCAGAAAAACTGGGTTGGAAGAAAACAGCACTCACCTGCTCTAAACACCCCCACAGTGTGCTATCACCTTCCACAGCACTCTGATGGGTGCACCCATCTTTCTCAGCTTCAAAACTGCATATTGGAAAGCTTACTAGCCTATTCCAACTGTGGAGCTACTTTCATATCAAAAGGTCTTATTCCTTTATATTTCATTTTCTGTTTTCAGTCAAAAGATATAGACACTATCTCTTTACATTCTATGAATTCATACTTTTCAACTGCAGAAACTATGTTGCTGGTATATAGTGTTGTCATAATTCACAAGTATCATATGGACATGCACAGAGAACGTCTGTCCACCCACTATGACACTAGCTATGCAACTGAAACTCATGGAATGCAACACATTCTCGGGAGCTTATTCCTCAGATTTGGTGTCTTAATGACTTTCAGTTCTATACAAGCATCAAGGTCATTTTAAAAGACCAAAATTTGCAATCAAGGATGATGCTTAATGAAACGTACTTCAATTCCAAAATTGTTCTGGGGCAATGGCAGGGTGACTGAACCATCTGCTACATCTTCCCTTTCAAAGAGATTATGTAGACTTTCTGCTCAAAATCTTCACTACTTTATAGCTGGGCAATTAATTCTCTAGATACCCTAAGACCCATGCTCTTTCCAAAAGGTATGTAAACTTTGCATCTTAAGCTACTTTGAAGATAATATTAATTGGTTCCAGTATCAGTATGGAAACAGGAAAAGAACAAAATCTAAACATTCAAAGTTCATGTCATATTTTGACACTATTGATGTCAGTACACGTAGAATTCAGCTAATGTTTCTGCTTCAGATTACTCGCAACTCACTGAGAAAGCACATAGAGTGAAGTTATGCACTTTAATGACTTACACAAGAAAAGTTCATACCTAACACACAGGCACAGACTATGGCTGAGGATAAAGTAGACTGAGAGAGAGAGGGGGGAAAACAAAAAGCACCTTTCAGCGCTTTAGAGCTTAGATTTAAAACTTTTATCTCAGAAGTTCTAGATACTGTACTAACAGTGACCATAGAGGAATAATGAATATAGTTGTTGAAACTATCATTAGATCACCAGAAAGTAAACAGTATTAATATTACTATGAAAAAGTAAACAGATGTAGACAGATACGTATATTAGACTATCATGCTGCTATATTTTTAAGACAGTATGCTTATGTCTGATGTGATTCACTTCAGAGCCAAGATAAGACCAGGCCTGTTCAATATCAAGATGGCAAACCAACCTTGGAGCTTCTGATTTTCCTTCTCCATTCTGAGCAGCAGTATCTGTTGAAGAATAGCCTTTTGCCACAGCTCTCGGAGCTCACGAGATGTCCTTTTCTTTTCCTCTGGCGGGGGCCCAAAGGGCCCATCTTCACAAACTGGTTCTAAAGGAGATCGTGGGGGAAGCTCTCCCAGCTCTGAATAATCTGGAAAGGGAGAAGGGCATTCCAGAATCGTCATTTTTCAACAAAAAAA